GACTTAATTATCCGCATTGTTAGAGCTGCATTGCAACCATAACCTCAAAATGCAATAGGATGCAATGTTTTGGTTATTGATTATTGAACTCGTTTTTTACGTAGTGTTTATTTTATGATGTGGTGAATAAAATAAACCATTAAAATACCGTCACTGCATTGGCAAAAATGGTTTGTAAGCTCTTGTTTTTTTCTTAATTTCTCGATGCCTTAACTTGAATCTCGATCTAAGCTACACTACCGGTCATGTTTACACAATTTATCTCTTCAAGTACAATTTGTCATGAGCGTGTTTTTATGGCCTAGGCCCAAAGGCCTTGGGGTCGAATCCTGCATATCGCCAAATATTTGATTTTTGTTCAAATACAATCCCGTGACCCTCCAGCCTTATGTAACGTACAAAAGTATCACCATGACTTCTGCAGCTCTACGTTTTGAATTAATACAAAAGTATTTACACTGAATAAATCTATCAGGAAAAAGCTACTTAAAATCATCTAATCACGACTAAAACTAAAACTACAGTTCCAATCAAGTGTGGAAGTTGAAGGGATCGTCTTCAACGACTGTAGTTCGATCCGCAATGGATCGGAAGTGTAGCGTATTTCACCACCTTTGTCTGCTACGAGAGAACTTTAATTGACTTTGGCCCCGACAATGCTGCAAACAGTTGAATATTGAATTTCAACTTTTTGAATCTTAGGCCTACTGTAATACATACCTATTTAAACCCCGTATACTCAGATTCCATATATGACTTTCACATTAACTTTTATCATTGTATACATATTCCCAAATATCGAAATTCTACTTAAACCTTTACTGTGTAATCAGCCTAGGGGAAAACGGAAACTCTACACCATAGCTATTTATCTGATCTCTTAGATGTGTAAAAACAGAACAATTTTACCAATTACATTTCGTGTTACAAGAAATTCCTCCAAACATTGTAACTTTGCCATCTCGTGTGCATTTGTCTGTAAGTGGATACTACTAGACTAGATAAATCGTAATACAAATCGAGATAACTGCTTGAGTAGTAATCGTTGGTAACCGGCAATTTTCTCCAAATAATCAATTGTTTCTAACTTAAAATAGTTACTTTTGTTTTACGGACTTGAATTGAACTTAATACAAACTCCATCAATTGCAGATTTTTCCACTTATAAAAAACAAGATCTACAATTTTAAGTTACCAGAATCATTTGCTTGAGTTAGAAAAACAAATTAATCTTCTGAGAACTCATTTCTGTGCAAAATCTTGTCATGCGTAATTTGAATTATTCATTTTCTGGAGTTTATTTACATGTTTTAATAAATACATAATTTGTTATTCAAATAGGATTTACAGATTTAGGAAAAGGTAGATTTTTGGCAATTCAAATATCGTAAGATTGATGTAAGGTTGCATTTATTTTCTGCCAGAAGTTTGTAACAATCTTGAACATCTTTTTTAAATTAAACATAAAATTATCTGTATACCGTTATACTACTAAACCACACTAAACTAATTATAAATGTTATATATTTACTCTCTTTACTAATTGAATCATTAATTGATTGCTAGTTGCATATACAATAACGTTATGACGTAGGCCAGCTTGAATAGTTAAACAAAGAATAACATTATTTTGTTACCTTACAATAACCTACCTACCTTTGAAATGTGTGCACGCATGTTGACGGTTGATCTAATGTATTTTATTGAATGTGTCATGTCAACGTGTGTTTTTTTTTTTTCAATTTTAAATGTATGACGTATTGTAGAAGAGAATGAACCTGATGATGTGGCAGTTGCCACAAAACATGTAGTTCGACCTGACTAATAAGGATATTGTAAGGTTACCAAAATAATTCTATTAATATACAAACCAACATTTAGAAGTAGGACAATGAACTCTGAGAATTGTATGATAAAGAGCAAAATGTAAAATATACAACATGGCATTCTCAGTTAAGGATTTATAAAGCTTAGTCTGAATTGAAACCGCCTTCACAGGAACTGTAAGATAACTTCTGACAGCCAACTTAACAAACTTAAAATAAATTATATTGTTCACTACATTACAAGAATTGCTAGCTACACAAGACAGTTAACCAAGTCATAGACAATAAGGTCCAAGAAATGACATTAAAATGAAAATTATATTAAATAATTGAACCTCTTATCCACATTTTAGAATTAGGTACACGGCCACTACTAAAATACTTCTTGAATTAAATTCACGGAAGTAAATTTAAATTCACGGTACAATAGATTTTTTTATCGGACACTTGATTGACAATGATTTCCATCATCACGCTAGAATGAAGAATGACAAGGACGAAAATTACGTTCCTACTTTCTATTGGTTACCGGATGTAACACAAAAACTCTTATTTGTTCCTCAACAGTTAAATTGAGTATTCAGTTCATTTTTTACTTGTTTTATTTTAAAGTCTTCTTGTTCATTTAACATTGTTCTGATTGTGTTTCTCCTAAATACTGCGTATTTCGTATGCGAATTATTGAATGAAACTTTGTTTTATTGTATTTTTAAGTATGTTAGAAAATAATTGCTTTTATTTTTGAGCGTTTTTAAATCATTTAGAATCGGTTGATTTTCAAAAACAACATAGCCAAATAGCATGAAAAAATTACAAATTCATTTTCTTGTACATCGCTAATAGAATCATATAGTTCTTTAAATCGTCTATAGAAACCCGTTGATGAACCCACATGCTCACATGTTGAATTTGATTTATTCATAGAAACAATAGATGGATAGATGTTTGCCACAAACCGCCATGGAACCAGTAGTTTTGTATACACTTCTGCACAAAAAAGTATGTAAAGTTTGTTTGTTATTATTTGTGTATTAATTGGCCTTCGCCAACAAGTTTTGTAAACCTGACGAGGCAAGCTGTTGTATTATTAAAATACAATTGAATACTCATCTGTACCACTTGGTTTGAGAATATCGTATTTGATTTCATTTAATCAGCAATGTGGTAGTATAAAACAATCAACGTTATCAAGATACAAAGTACAAGTGAATAAAATCAATCTAAAGTTCATTGACTTTCAATTTTTTTATGTTATTTAATCAATATCCTAATTCAAAAAGCTGAAAAAATTTTCCACGGGGCATGGGGTATTTTAGAATAGAAGGATATAAATTCCTATGATTGCTAGGTCCACGACCTCTCATTGAGTGCTGTTTCAACTCGTCGTTTTTGCGTTACCCAGGAACTAACTAACACATTATATTTACTAACACTAAGTATTTATTTATACATTTTACTACTGGGTTTACAATTCACCATTTTTTTAACCCGCCTTTTCTACTCGACGATGAGCAAGTTCCCTCCAAAGTCAACAGAATGCAGACGAAAGTACCCGCCTGACCGGCTCAGCTATGTGAGAGTGTATGAGACATGGGGAAAGCTCAACATTTCTGATGTCATCCCACTTTCCTCACACTTGTTTCGCAGCAGAATGTTTCGTTCTATAATTGCAAGTCTGGTAGTTTCCAGGTAACTTGCTCCACATGTGTGGATTTGCATACGACATGTGCCCTGGGGTGGTGACCTGTTTCCCGCTGTCTTAGAGGAAGTGATTAAACTTGATGGTTGTAAAATATTTCTCCAATGATTACTTACTCGGTACCATGGAGGTTGAGTGAGGAGTCAAGTAAAAGTTTATATTTGTGAGATGTTTTATGTTTTGTTCGTTACTGATGTTACTGAAGCTTTAACAATGCTATGTACCAATACTCCACAGTACTATTATTCCTTATACATGTTGTATAACTGTTTAGTATAACTACAATTATGTTGGTATGATCTGCTGTACAAAAGTAAACATCGATTAATTCCTATTACCACCAAACGAAGATTTTTATTTTTCTCTTAGACATACGTTTGATTTATATTCCGTAATATAAGTTATTACTTCGTCCAACATGAATTTCCTGTCCAGATTCTGCAAGTAATATCACACACTAGGGGAATAGAAGTTGTAATGTGTAAAGAATTTCAATGAAGTTATTTGTTGGAGTCAATCCGTATACTATTTTTCCTATGTCCGTTCTTAGAGGTTTCATTATTAAATATAAACTGATCAACAATTAACGATAACTAAAAATATACAATATTGATACTAACAATGATAAGTATATTTTTCATCCCATAATACTTAAATTAGAATAACTTTCGTTGAACGAGATTAATAAATCGTACATTTCCATACAAACTGTGCAGTGAAATTGACGATATATCACTTTAAAGGTCAAAATAAACCTTCCATATTTTCGTTCGATTGAACGTTGTTCCTGTGACCTTTACTTAAATAAGCATAGAATGCGACTTTTTATACCCTATATTCTTTGTTGCTACAACATGTTTGTTTTTATAATTTTTGTTACTACAAACAATGTTTTTCCCAGGCAATGTTTATTCATAAAGTATTTTTTCATATAATTTAAATGTGGCCTTCATAAGCTTTTTCCCTCCGTTCATAGTAACTTTAAACTTTTTACCTGAGTATTTGTTTACTTTCCACAAATTCATAAACTTTTCTTACATCTTTGTATTTATACACGTATTTCGAAAGTCTTTGTTCGTTTGATTTCTTCCTAGAGAATTTTTACCAGTAATCTTTCTTCCTCATTCCATTATTACTAGAAACATTCCCCGTTCCTTCATCTGATCATTATTATATTAACCTAGATTAATATAATCAACATTTCAGGGAGGCAATCATGGCGAATAACTTATTTAAATATTCGTTGTTTTATAACACTTGTACCTCAAATCTTTGTTCCTTGATCCACAGTTACTATAACCTGTGTCCCTACAATGTTTCCCCCATCATCTATGATTCCATCTGTAACCTTTCTTCCAATCACCTTTGTTCCTATAACATCTTTGTTCATAAAATATTCATTCCTTCCTCCACCCATATTTATTGTATACTCTCTTTGTTCTTCCATCATCGTGTCTACATCCCTCTTGTTCCAGGCGACCGCTGGCTAGTCTCGTGTCTAGGGGTGCTCTACCTCAGCAAGGGATTGTTCTACAGGGTGGTCCCAGCTGATCAGAGCTTCGCCACGGACCAGTACTGTGGGGTGTTCAGGTTCAGACTCTGGTGGTGTGGGGAGTGGGTGGAAGTGATGGTGGACGACCGTTTACCCACCGTGGCGGGAAAACTAGCCTTCCTCCAGAGTCAACACTCCGACCAGTTCTGGCCCGGACTGCTGGAGAAGGCTTATGCCAAGTGAGTACTCCAGAAGGGATTGTAGGTTTGATTATATCAATAAGATGCGTTTACATAAATATCTAGTTGTATCCGAAAGGTTGTACATTATCTTTTTCATTGATTAGTCTTGACTACACGTAGACGGAAATCATGAACAATCAAACCATCATTTAGAACTGTACCCACTCCCACTATCTTGATCACCTTTTTAGGACGACACACCTCATGCGCGCAAGTGTTGTATGCAAGAGAAATTTGTTACTGACTAAGATTAGGATGTTCTATAGTTGGAACCATTTATTGAAAGTCTGTATTTTAAGGACGGTTAAACTTCAGTTAAACTATTATAGCTAATGCCTAAGGTGAAACATATGTCACATAGTCAACATAGATATTGTATAAAGTGAAGCAAAAGGTAATTAAAATTGCTTTCTCATAATCCTATGTAATTGTGTTTATATAAATAAATCAACATACCAATAATGAATAGTGACGTAATGTTGTTGAAAGTTTTGAAATCCAGATGCTTCCATAGTCACAGAGAGGGTAATTTGTAAATATTTGTTAAACAACCTTGATTTCAAACATGTTGAAATACGCAATATGGGTTTTAGCTTTTATAAATCCCCTCTCGCCAATACAAGTGAGTATGTGTAACTTATGTGTTAAACACATATCAGCAGAGGTTATTTTGGTAATTTATATGCTTATTAATTAATCTGCTTGCCGTTTCAGATTTCTGTGACATAATTTGTTCCATATAACATACAATTATTATGAGGTCTCTATATTTACGTGAAAATAAACACTAGCATCCACTGGCGGAAACGTTTGAGTTCCCCAAAGGACTGAGCTGGCGCAATTGGTTCCCATGGGAAATTACATCAAGTTCTTTAGAACTGAAGTTTCAAACATGCTTTAATTAATTTTCATATTGACAAACAACTCCTTGTATTTGATCAGCTATAAATAGACAGCATCGAGGATCAAATGTGATTTAATTACTTTTAATTTTGTAACAGAAATTGGAAGCTAAAATCAGCCAAAGTACAAGATATAGGTACAATAGTGAGTTTATACGAAAACAATTTTGGATTAGAATCATCTACGAAATGTTTCTGTAAAATGAGTATTTATCTTGTAAACTTTCAACAACTATGGTATATGTTTAACCCTAGACTAACCCACACAAGTAGACTTGTCCCATTGTAAATTGTGAAGCTGATTTTTCGTGTATATTTCATGTCTGGTGACACTGATCGCTGGTGTCGACAAAATTTATATTTTATCCGTGTATGTTTGTTATGTAATTGGTTTATTTCTTTTTAAACCTAGCATTTCAACAAAAAACAAATTTTAATATAATAAAATTATTTGGAAAATATATTTTTTATTTCCACCTAGCCAGACATATTTTTCAGAAGGTAATAAAAGTAGTATCGTTGATGCTTCAGACATCGCGCTCTGTTGATTCAGATATTAAATATAAGTCTCGACTACTCGACAGTTGTCCTCTTCCTTCTCAACGTTAAATATTTGAAAGCTTTTTAATACGTTTTACTTTGTTGATTGAAATAAGTATAATCTTTTAAATAAACGTTTGTTCAATTATAATATTAATTAACTGACTGATTGATACTAAAATGTTTTAATACAATCAAACATTACATTTTAAAACTACGGGAACCCAAAGACACAAATGTAAATTTTTTATTCCATTACAAGATCCTCAAAATGTAACCAGTGTACCAAAAACAATAATTGTAACTCGTGTTGGAAATATAAAAAACCTACAAAAAGATTCAATCTGTAAATCAATAAGATAGCTACGTATTTTTTGATCGTAATGTTTAATGTGAATGTAAGGTTAATGAACGCAGTGAGATGAACCGTCTAGCATTGTTGCTAAAATCAGCTGATTTTTCAATCATTGTCGACTCGTGTTGACATTTTAATATGAAGTATTTTTGTAAATCCGTGTGAATGTGTATGTGTACGGTTTAATTGAGACCAACAACGCCTCGTCTGTTTTACTATGCAAAGGCCACATTTTCCCATTTGTGCTAACGTGCGTTAAATTGCTGGGCGCGAGGATTGCAGAATAATAACTAGTCAAATAATCGGTTGTGATCGTGTCTGCCGCAATATTAATGGATAATCGATTTTGTAAATTCTCTTTGGAAATCAAACTATTAAAAATGTTTTAGGCATTTCAATACCTAAGCAGACAAATGAGCAACTCCTGCAAAGTCGCAAAAATGTGGTTTACTATTTTATCCTCACAGCGAAGTGTAGAGTTTATCAATTTAGTGTACTCTTATATGAGTATTATTGATGAAAAATAAATGTGTGAACAAAGTAGATACTTCCTTTTGAAATTATCATGGTGTGTTAAATTAAAGTGATAACTATTCCTTGTAGCGTTTAATAATATTTCTATTTCTAATATCGTACTCAAAAATACAACTGTATAACTTGTCGGTTGATTATGGTTTATCGAGATTTTACAATATGCCCTCTAGCTAAATTACTAACACACAGAATCAGCCACCTACTGATACGTTCTCCCATTAGCTTGTCATCAACCTTATCATGGGTAAGCGGTGGGAGTTAACTGTAACATTTTATGGGGGAAATTGCAAAATTTTCAATGACTTTTTTCTACAACACTGGGGTTGTACTATATCGTTTGGAGTTAAAAGTTAAAAGAGCTGTATACTAAATTATAAATAATATCGTTTGGGCTGGGTGTTTTTTAATCCGTTTTCCGTTATTGTATGTGTGGCAAGGGAATATCACTACATATTAAATTTACTAAAAGAAAATTCTAAAAGAAATTAACTTAAATATAATACTAAAAAAAGTTATTGAACACATTACACTTTTTTACTTTCCAAGAACGCTATTGGGATCGGAAAAGTTACTTTTTCAATTTGAAAAGATATTAATACATAATCAAGTATCCAAATTGAAGATTTTTATCAACTTTGGCAGTTTATTCTTGAATCAAAATTTTCCTTCTCGGCTTATAATTTTTAAGGGTCAGTTAATTAAGAGGAGTCTACAAGTCTGAAACGAATACTCTGTAGAAATAAAAACTTTGTAAGTGGTGTAACTGTTTCCGAGAAACCGATAATCTCTAAGGCCGGGGCCACACGTGGCGGATTGTCCGCGCGGCTTATGATCGTACGATCATAAGCCGCGCGATGATGTCCCGGCCACACGGAGCGGATGAACCGCTTCCGGTTGAGGTTTCCCAGCCTACATACTGAGATTCTAACATGGTTTAATTCACTCGTTCTCGTTGTAGTCATGGAAGAAACACGTATGTTAGTTTGTGCATTAGAAGCGTGTGGTGAGCTAGAGCCTAAGGCAAACCGAAATCATTGGGTCCATCATTTCATAACCGATAAACCATTTGTGCTCCAAACCTTTTACGAGCACATGCGAAACCATGGTTCGGACTTTTTTTTGTTACTATCGCATGTAGATAGCATAGTTTGACGAGCTACTTCAATTGCTTTGACCGCATATAACTAAGGAAGATATACTCATGAGAAATGTACAACATGAGAAATCCCACATTGTCTTTAACAAGTTCTATTGATTTGTCTGTATCAAACATTTTACACCTATAAACCGAACCGCACAAGCACAAACTAAAAAAAAAAAAAAAAAAAAACAACTAAAAATGCTTGAAAATGAGCTCCAACCGCGCGGACAATCCGCATCGTGTGGCCACTCTCATAAGACTACGTGTGTCATCCCCTCCAACGCGGCTTATGATCGCGCGGACAATCCGCGACATGGCGCGGACAATCCGCCCAGGCGGCTTAGGATCGCCCCGTGTGGCCACTCTCATTTGATTCAATGTGTTGTCGGACCACGCGGATGATCCGCGTCGTGTGGCCCCGGCCTAAGTCAGTTTTCAAATGGTAGGAATTCCGAATATTCGCAGATCTAGGCCAGGATAGGCACGGAGGTGGGTGGGGCCACAACAGGTGACGGGCGAGCACAAAGAAGACACGACTAAGAATGCGGAGGCAAACTGCCAGAGGCTGATAGAAACCACGTGACCTCTATATGGGGAAAGTGACCCGACATTGAACTTGCCCCAGGGTCAAAGGTCATATGAATGGCAAGTGGGTGGAGGTGGAGGAAGGAGATGGTTATAGCTATAGCCCGGAGGATAGGCCACCGAGCTTTACTCTACAGCTTGACTTAAGTCTATAAATAGCACATGGGATGGTTTTGTATTGAATAAGTAAGGAAGAAACGCAAATTGCACTTTTTCAGGATTATTGTCCTACAAGACTATACAAAATTACTGTTCACTAGAGTGAAGGAGGACATGTGTTTTTAAGGTTCATAATTGCGAAGGATAATTTTATTGAAACCTAATTTATGTAAAATGGACTTTTCCTACATTGAGTGTTTTGATACACTCACATAAAAAAATTAAAACGTATAATAAGCCTATTTTACATCAAATTAAGATAACTCTCGGTATGGTATATTTTACGTATTGTAATATGTGACTGTGTACTCATCTATGTGTGTAGAGTTATTTTAGGATTTTGGTGTTATTTTATGTTTTGTAGAAAGACGGGTTAATCTTTAGTCCTCTTGTAGAAGGAATGCAGGGTTTACCTATAGCACTCTGATTCTGACGCTGTAGAAAGCGCGAGTAGTCATGTCCAACTGTCCAGCAATTTCCCCAAATGTCCGTTATTTCATCAAGATGGATCTAATGTCGCGAGCATCATGCTCTACTTACAACGAATGACACTGTTTTGGCCATCTGCCAGTAATACTATACAGAACTACACTACTTTGCCGAAACGCTGTTTTAACAGGTAATGATTCAGCAAAAGTATCAGCAGACAGAACCCTTTTCAGATTTATTCGTGAGATATCTGGTCAAACACTTTTTAATTTGAGATACATATTTGCGTTGTCTTCCACATTGTAAATACAGCAGAAGGTGGTATAAACCATTAGTATGACTTGCTATGTCAGTCCAAAGGGTGTCGGTTGGATCCTAAACTATCTGTTCCTGGATATTTAGGATGAATGGTCAATGGTCATGTTAGCAAATCTCTACTTTAATACTTTTCAATGAAATGGCGACCATACAAAGTAGGTATTTTAAGCCAATGAATGGAGATGAGTGTAGGATAAGTGGCCCGATCTTGTAGTCTTTTTAGTGACTAAGGCCGACATATTCCTTAGACACAGCTGTTAATTAATAGCCCATACAGCTAATGCCAACTAAAGGACCTACAGTTTATAGTGGAATCCGAACCACATTTTTGCCTTGGTATTAACGAATTGGTCTAATTATCAGGATAGTACTGCGGATAGTCGTAGTACTCACTCGTGCAGACGTTAATCCACACCAGGGAGTAACGTCCCTACAACAGTGCATGCCTATAAATATCCACAATTCGTGACCTCCTAGTAGTTGGATTACAGGACGACACCACCCGTCCCAGTCTAATCTCGCTGTTGTTATCCTGATTATTTTTCCGTGACACTTCAATCACACTGATTCAACAGTTACAGTAACGAACAACGATATCCATTATCCTCCCGCTGAACCAACATCTATGACGAGATGTCACCTTAACCCGTTACAATAGTCACACCGGAAGTTTCGCGCGTGTATCCTGTCTGTCTGGGCAGGCAAGGTGACTGCGCCAACGCACCATGCAGCTGTGAAGTTCCGCGCGTTGGTTTAGTAGGCCAAGCAATTGTTATAACTGAAGCCATCCATGTGTTTATAAACATGCTTGTTTCAAGAGGAGATTGCTGCTCTCTGTTTGTGTTATTGCTTCTCTGTGCGGAGATTGCTATGTGCGAGTGTTCATTGCTAAAGGCGAACCGAAACTATTGTGTTGATTTGTGAATATAGTTTTGGCACCCAGGATATATATCTCAGGCACCAATACTTTACGTTTCGGTTCAACTCTTTTACGTACAGTTAAGTCATTACGAAGGAAATTACAGCTTTGGACTATATACGTAACTTTCTAAAATAAATTTTAAATTAAATAAATTCTAAAGTTTTGTTTTATAAACACAAGTAATGGAGTGAGAGGCTGCAAAATATTTCAAAATCTTTATTTATCATCCTATAAACATAAATTGTTATTTGAGTAAATAAATTGTTAGGTAGAATCTCGCCCATCGACTCTGACAAAATGATCCCTAAATATACAAGATTTGAACGAATTATCCTTGTTCTTGATATTTGTAGTCTATTGTTAGTCTATTGTAAAGTACGATTATCAAGAACCAAAGTGTAAATGGCTCTGTTAAAATATTGTTTTAATAAAATAAACTTATAAACAAATGTATGAAAAACCTACAACAACACACTACAAACAAATGACTAAATAAACCAAACGTAAACTAGCGTTATCATAGAATTCTTCTGAGTCGAATTTTGAAATAGGATTACAATGTAAAGTGTCCTATGCTTTGCAACATTTTCATAACAAAAGACGTAGCAACCTTTATGTAGGTCAGATCTTACATAAAAGTTCAACTTCACAAACAAATCAAGTATGAACCTTTCAAACTATTCGCTTGTTTTGTTTGAGGACAGACAGCTACATCACAGTTCCTCTTCATGGACCAGAGGAGAAGAGGACTTTATTCATCTTGTTAACAAAACTTTGTTTCTACTTTTTTAGGATTGTTGTAGGTTGTTCCAATACATCAATAATGGCAAATAGTTTGTCCCCTCCATTGTATTTTGTGGGATCTTCTGCTTGAAAATAACTGATAAGTCAGTTTTACTTCCCTACAATAAATTCAAGGAGATCAATAAACTTAGGACTCCATCTAGGGTTGTTTATGGTTTTGTTCAGTGGGAATATCAAACTCTGTTAAATCCACTGGTCAGGTCCACTCTCCTCATATTCTTTCCTGCTAAAATGTCTTGCCACCCTTCATGTATGGTATACTCAAAAAGAACCCCTGATTTAGTTAGACAAAACATATCATCCCAGTTAATAATAGGCTATACATGCCTTTGGGGCAAAGCCCCCAATAATCAGTTTTAGTCACAATTACTGTATTATGTATAACTAAAATTTTATTTAACTTTATCAAATATGTGTTTCTTTTACATACAGTAATGTTTTTTTTACTGAGAGCAACTCTCATTTTATGTCTAGTTATGACTCAGTAACTACTTGTATACAGGATAGAGCTACAATACTTGGTACAAAGTTACAGGGCATAAAACTATATTTTAACACATATTCAGTGATCCAATAGCTCTTCAGGGGGACGGCCCACAAGGAGTCGGAAGAAAATCTTAAATGGAAGCATAGGTCAATATGCACATCAAATTAAAGGTCTTTTTTAGTAGAATACAATGCCACAAATCGCACTTCAAAAGGTTGACCCTGCACAAAATGACAGTTGTTCAAAGATTCATTTAATTTACATTGCTATTATACGCTTTATCCTCAGGGGGCACAGCCCTAGGAATCGGAAGAAAATTGTTAACGTAAGCATAGGTCGATATGCACATCAAATTAAAGGTCTTCACTAGTAGATTACGATGCCGTAAATTCAAGCTCAAAAGAATGCCTGAGTAAAAAATGGCAGCAGTTCAAAGATTCAAAATGGCGGATTCAAGAAATCTTTGAACATCTGCCATTTTGCGCAGGATCAACCTTTTGAAGTGTGGTTTGTGGCATTGTATTCTACTAAAGAAGACCTTTAATTTGATGTGCATATTGACCTATGCTTCCATTTAAGATTTTCTTCCGACTCCTTGTGGGCCGTCCCCCTGAAGAGTTATTGGATCACTGAATATGTGTTAAAATATAGTTTTATGCCCTGTAACTTTGTACCAAGTATTGTAGCTCTATCTGCATTATTTCTTTTAATATTTAACTGTCCAGGGACTTTTTTACCACCCTGTATAGGGCTCCCCTTCAAATTGGAATTCTGCTAATCAAATAGCGTGTGTGGTTCTGAACTCAGATGCATTCTTCATTGGCTGTCAATTAATAATGCTAAAAGGTTGTTAAACACTAGCAATAATAGGGTTTGGACCATTCCCCCACAACAATCCTAACAACATCCAATGACATATTTTTGTTTGTAGACCAATGTTGGCATCACTGTTGCAGATTGCATGGCTCCTACGAGGCCCTCAAGTACGGAACATTGCTGGACGGGTTGGCAGACCTGACGGGAGGCATAACGGAGAGTGTCAGTATTAGACAAGACCCCACCACTTGTGGCAGAATGTTGTCCAAACTGTTAGAGATGACATCCCTCATCACTTGCACAGTTCAGTCCTCCTTGCAACAGGTAATTCAATGACTGCTTATGCTTTTAATTAAGTGATTCGCCTTATCTTCAGGTTCCTAAGACAAACTTTTCACTCTTCGTTTCAATCCAAACTTGATGAGCCTGATGAACCACAACATCCTGCCTATGAGCTCCTCCTGAGACCAGCGTCTGCCCTTATTCTAGTTCCTAGGGTTCCCTTAACTTATTCGAAGCTGTGCATTCATAAAGGAGATAGCCTCTTCGGACTGTCCAAACTTCCTGCATGCACTGTACCACTGTACCCAAATGGATACTAAAAAATATTGTCGCTCTTTTAGGTGACTAAAATTTGTTTCATACCTAGTCGCAGATTGTTAGAGCTAACAAAAAAAATTTATGAAATTTATTATTTTAAAAACTAAAAAACTTTTATATCTGAAGGTTTGATTCCAAGTGAGATTGTTTCTGCACCAAACATTAATTTTCAAAAGGATTTATGTACGACACAATCATTTTTGATTTCCAGAATTATCAATGAAAACTGTCTCCGCATACTACCCACATGCACACTACCGTAATAACACGTAATGTATTTTTCCCCCATTTTGCAAATGGGTTCAAAAGTTGTTGCTGTAACAGTGACAATAATTGAAGTTGTCTGTTGTATTAAACAGTTTTCCATTAGGACTAATGGAAAGCGGATTGTGTGTATGATCCATAAAATAGAGTGACACATCATCATGGTGTAAAATTGTGACTATTTTACTGCACGCTAATATGACTAAACAAAAATTGTGTTGCACTATAAATTTAATATACTTATTTTTCCATGATGACTCAATTTTTATTTTGTGTATTTAAAAAAATATTTACTAAAGTGTTTTTTGTAAGGTCACAGACCAAACAAGCCTTAGTACTATATAACATCATAATTTTGTTAGGTAGTATCATCAATAGCCAATGAGGAATTGTCAAATATTATTATGATTAGATATTGAATTGAAAATGTCCAACACCTCTTGATAAATTAAATGTACTAGCGCACAAGAAGGTAAGAGTTTATTATACTTATTAGACTCTTTTTCAGGCCCTGAATAATTAAATGAAGTTTGTATGGTAAAATGTGTTTTTATATCATCATTCCGGCCACACGTTCATTCATTTGATCGATAGTTAAACATATATGACTCATATAATGTTTCAGGTGAGAAATCAAGTGGAGAAACTTGCAAATGGAATTCAAATAGGAACCAACTACAGGCTGTATGCTATAGAAAGGGTAAGTATCCTATTTTTGTTATTTAGGAGTATTGTCTACAGGATACTCCTAATCAGCCAATTGGTTATTCCTTAATTTCTAACCTAGATTTGTTTATATATATATATTTTTTATGTAATTTAATGGTTTAATCTTACTAATAGTGTTCCCATTTTTGTTCTAAGTTATATGTAATAGAGATAAATGTGGTTGGCCGAAACTCAGTTCTTCTTTTACTAAGTCGAAGACTTATTCACAAGGCCGCTAACCTGAACAATCTTCTTAGTTCCTTCTTGCGAGGATTGTCTCCTTCATCCTTTCAGGACGGACACTGTTTTCTGCCACCAACACACTTCTATCACCTAGCACCATGATCCCATCACCAGGATCATCTTTTCTTCTTCCTATTTCCCCCTTAATTTCGTTGAAGTTTTTTATTTTTCCTTATATTATTATTACCATTATAATTTGAGATAAGGACACCACCTTACGTATTTAAACTCTAATATGAGTGATGGATGTGTGTAGACTGTATAATGGAGTAAGATGCCTTAAATAGCTTTCCTACAGACTAAGACACGTAGCTGTTTTAATAGCCAGGGCCAGCCTTTTGATTACTAGGAGAGGATTATAATCTCAGCTACATGAATAATTTCCAAGTTCATTTTTTTCTCTACATCCATGTATTTTCAAAGTCATTCTTTCTTACTCCTATATCCTTACAAAATATACTATGAGAAAACTTTATTACTGATTACTTCTCAGGAAGCTGATATATTCCCACATCCACATACAAGGAAATCTTACTGCTAATTCCTTGACTTGACTTGACTTATTTCCGTGAGTTCCTAGGTGGAACATAGGGCCTCGACAAAATCTCGCCACCCGTCTCGATCCTCAGCAAGTGCCTTGGCCTGTCTCCACGTCATCTGTCTTCTTGCTAGGTCTCTTTCTATGGTTCTCTTCCATGTTGTTTTTGGCCTGCCCCGCTTTCTGTTTCCCTGCGGATTCCAGTCTAGTGCCTGTCTTGCTATACAGCTCTGCGGCCTTCTCAACGTACGGCCAATCCATCTCCACCTTCTTTTGGTGATAATCTTTTTGATTGGTTCTTGCTTGGTTATCATCCAAAGATCTTCGTTTCTTATCACATTAGGCCACCAGATTTTCAAAATGTACCGCAGGCACCTATTGACATATGCTTGTAGGCTTTGCACTGCTGTTTTGTTCATCTTCCAGGTCTCACAGCCATATAGCAAGACAGACATGACATTGGAGTTGAACAGTCTTAATTTTGTCTTTCGCAGAATCTGCCTTGATGTCCACACAGGGCGTAGTTGAGCAAACGCTCCCTTGGCGTTCCTAATTCTGCTTTTGATATCTAGGTCTGTTCCTCCATCCAGTCCTACCATTCCTACCACCTGCTGATTCCTTACTTTTCATATATCTATTCCCAGGTCTCTTCTTCCTACCCTATCCTTCTACAAAGAGAATATCTTACTACCGATACCTTACTGTACTTGTACTTCTCAGAAAGCTTATCTATTTTAAGTCTCTCGGTCCTATCCCGGCTATGTATTCTAGAAAATCATCCTTGATTTCTTACTTCTCAGAAGCTTACCTTTCCCCAGTTCCCAAGACTTTTTCCTTATGCCAGGTATTCTTTAATTCCACCCCGTTATTTCTCATACCCTACAATCCAGCTAATGCAAGTATCTGTGCGCAGGTTGAAACGTTCAATGGTGAGCCAGTACAGTTAGTGAGACTGCGTAACCCTCTAGGGGTGGTGGGGGGAGAGTATGTAGGAGCTTGGGCCAGAGACTCCACTGAGTGGGACGAGATTCCACCTCAGGAAAAGGAGCGACTGGCTGTGAGACACATGGCCGATGGAGAGTTTTGGTAAGTTGAATCTTCCCATAACAATAATTCTTTGAGATAAAAGTTCTCTCTATAAAATATGTCCATCTTATTCAGTTTGTGATCATAATTGTTCACTGTATAATCAACTCAGTTTCAGTTTCATTGGTCTGAAACGTTCTGGGTCATTTGACACTTTAAATTGAGGTTTAAATTAGTGATGGGACAAACGGTTTATCCGATGGTTTTCTTGTGTAGTGGGGTGGGAGCGTTTTGGCTGAAATCATCCAACCAATAAATGGATGGTTGGACTATGATTTTGTGCGCCTGATTCACATAAATCTTTCCATTGATAGTGTGGTATCACTTTGTGGTCATGAGACCATGGCCGGATTTAGCATTTTAGCGCCCCTAGGCCCAAATAATTTTCCGCCCCTAGTCTGGCCACAGTTATCATGCCCATTTGTCTAAGTTAATTGCTTGAATACCACTTCTGGTCGAAATTTTATCATTGCAAGTTTTTTGAAGAATTGACTCGTTTTCCTTAATAAAGTGCAGTCTTATACACTTTTAGCAATTTTATGCTTTTATTAAATGCTCACGTTTGTGGGACTCAAAGAATACAACTCAACCCACCGAGCATTCCTGCAAAAAACATGGCCATTGATTCCAATTTCAGGCCCAAAAACATTAACTCCATTAAGTACGTGATACCATAGATTAAACTTACTCCTTTAGTAGATTTGTCATCATTATGGACTAGCTGAAAACAATTCTTGTTATAACTTAGTTTATCCTAAATAAAACGATGTAATTATAAACAATAGGTCGTCTCCTGGTTATATTACAAGAAATTAAAAAACACACATTATAGAACTAACCCTAAAATAATAGAAACAAAAGTATGTCAAAACTAACGTCCAGTGTCACCAACGTGAACTAGACATGAAAAAATTTAATTAACAATGTGATAGCTAGTCGACTTGAGTTATATCATAGATAAAACATACTCCCTTGTTATATTTAATCTATGGTGGTACTGCATCTAGGTTATATTTCCAAAGCAAAACAGAGCAATATTCCGGCCAACCATATCGATTCTTAGGTCTGAGGAGAAAATTACAGCATTAATGGTGCTTTGGAAGGTATTGAATTTATCGGAAACCTGTTGCAAACTGAGATTAATATTTTTTCGTTAATTTTAAAGATAAATTTATAATTTTTTTATATATTCAACACAACGTATTATATATTTTAACTTGATCCTGCAGATTGTTGTAAACTAATCAAAAGATTAGTCAATAACTTTTGTTTTGTGATTTATTTGTTTTGTGTGTTTGGTGGTAACAGTGTCTAGCACGCATGCGCCCCTAATCACTCCGATCTGTAGCACCGAGCCAACATAGTGGCAATACGATGCGTACAGCTCGGGCGCTCGACAACATCCCTACAGCCTACTCCCGTACCAATGTTCGTTACCAATATGTTGTAACAAAATTGATGCGTAATTCTGAAAAATAGTTTAAATCTTCTAACATTAATTTCTTCCTAATATAAACTTCAGAATCAGAATGCTTTATTAGCCAGAGTTTTTTTCACAACTATGACTATTTATTTTTATTTTTTAATATTTAAAAAATATGTCTTCCTCTCGGCCTTGCGCCCTCTGAGAGCTTGCGCCCATAGGCCCGGGCCTATTGGGAAATCCGGCCCTGCATGAGACATATTTTATAATCTCATGTAAAATGTAAATTCCACTACAATCAACACTCATATGCATTTAACATTAAAATATATATCTTCAAACTTATTCATCAAGTGAAAACTTGAAGAGGTTTATCTACAACTCGTATGATTTGCAGGATATCATACTCAGACTTTGTGAAGACGTTTACACACCTGGAGGCTGTACATCTGGACAGTGACACTTCTAGAGATGAACCTTCTCTCCACCACAAACAGACTTGGCAGATGAAGCTGTACCAGGGAGCCTGGCAAAGGGGGGTGTCTGCCGGGGGCTGCAGGAACAACCCTGGTAAGTTACCTATCTATAATCCAGATATACTTATATCAAAAATGATTTACAGTTGCAACTGTTTCTTATTATATTGTGGGCAGTATCAATTACAGAGTCTTTTCAGACTTTTTGGGACTAGGCCCTTGTTTGCCCTAAATAATTTCTGCACCATCAAGTCAATTGAAACATACATGTGGGTGTAAAGTTGGTAAAAAATACCGAACCAAACCAAGAAAGGAATACAGCAACAATAAATTTATGTACAGAATAGATACAGGCAATCAGAATATATTTACATACCTGATTTCTGTACTTCAATCAAGTCAGTTACGAATGTTTAAAACAGTTTTTACACTACATTCAAAAGCAATAATTTAATTAATTTACCCACTCTTTTGATGGTAAATGTATTCTCTTATAATGGATACAACTTTCATAGGAATATAATGAATAAGGATTGATCAGTTTTCATTTTTTGGTATATAGTAATGTGATAAGTGTCCTTATTTTTATTTCACCTATCAAGGAGTAATTTTTTTTTAATGGTAGCTCTAATAATTTATCTTTATGTACATACGATTGTGTCTTCATTCCTAAATTCGACAATGATTGCAGACACTTTCCACATCAACCCACAGCTGCATCTGATCCTTAGTGAGATGGAGGAAGTCATCATCTCACTCAACCAACACAGTATTATGGAGCCAAAGGTATGAAACAATTCATTTTTATATTTTAAAACAAATTACTGAAATATGTTGTACGGCCAATACTCATTTGCTTACTATCTTTATCCTTCGGTACACTTTACTGGAGGCTTATCACGAAATCAAGTAAAGTAACTGACTAAACTGTGAAGGAGAAATATCTCCTCTTAATCCTTACCTATTTCTATGTTTCTAAGCAGAGCCCCCCTTAAGCACCTACAAAAGGTGGAAATAGAAATAAAATGTTAGTTAAAATCTGTGAATTTTACGTTAATTAATTATGAAAAAATAAAATACCCCCGCCGCAGCAATCCTGCAGACTAAGCAAATTTCCATTTCCCTGAATGGATTTACACTAAAATGTCTCCTTAAAAATATCACATTTATTCCCTATTTAAATAGAATCAGTTTAAAACATACTTAGGTTTGCTGCAACAGGGAGGTTAAAAGTGTTTTTTATGTAAAATGTTAATAGTTGGTAAGAAATAAAAACATTTTCCAAATTTGGGCAAAATATGTTAATAAACAAGCAAACTACAACAGTTTACTTATTCTCCATAAGAATAACATGGAAATTTTAAATTTAAAATTTTTTGGAATTTTCTCCGTAACCATTAGGCGCATTATAACGCTTATACAATATACTAAATTATTTGTTTTTTTTAAGCTCTACAAAATAGTTTAGAAAGAAATTGCAAAATTTAATGTTTTTTGGGTCAAAAATGGGAAAACCCCATTTTTACCCCATAAAAGCCCCCATAAACCCCCGTTCCCATGGTCCAATCATGCTGGTTCGCGAACTCGTTCGAATAAACATAGGTTTACACGTTTGTAGCAAATTTCATCAAAATCGGATCATTTTTGCTCGAGTTATCGCGCTAACAGACACATATATATATATATATATATATGAATTTGAACGGATGGTGATTTTGGCCTCTAGGGACATGAATATATACTTAAAAACAAAAAAAAATCGGTCCCGGGTCCAGGTCTTACCATGAGTACTACGGTAATAGCTTATTCCCTATATGGGAAATTCGCTAAAAGGTGGGGGGTTTGAATACTATAATATTGAGATTTTTTTAAAGTATTTTTTGTACCCTACTTTTTTAGGTAGTAAGGGAGCACCCACCCAAGGGGGCTTTTTTTCCTAAGCATCCAAAAACATGATTTTTTGTATAAAACAGCTTTTCAGTGCATTTAGAAATAGAATAAATAATAAAATGACTAATTTCAGGTTTAAAAAAATCACCCTTTACATTAACATTCACTCGAGCCATCAAAGACAAGTGACCTACTCTTGAAATACACACCAGACATGATCAAACTCTCAATCTAAATCTATAATGCGATACATTGAGAAAGTTGAATTTCTATGGCCGTCTTAAAATAATAAGTATTTTTGTAGGATCTAACTCGAGTATATTTATAATTACTAACTTACATCATTTTGGTAATGATAATGATGAGTAGATTAGACTCTGTTGAGTAGAAGTTGGAAGTTTACCTGGAAGGTTGCAGTGCCAGACAATGTTTTCTACCTTTTTGTTAATTTGTGATCGTTGTAACTCTGTAAGGGAAGGTTTTGTTATTTTACTTGCGTTTGTTTATAGAACATTGAAACAGTTTAATTCTTAACTAGTGCAATCTATCATTGCACTTAAATGAAAATAATTAATTCCGTTGAAATAAAATATTAGTTGGTATTTTTTAAAGTGTAGATTATAACTTGTGAACAATGTCAAGATTGTAAAATATGAATAATTCCAATAATAAGACACCTATTTTAAATTAAAACTTGGGGGGGATGAGTTAAAGTTTGAGGCTGAAGAATTAATTGATTTTCTTCCAATCAATAGTTGAGGCATTTAATTTCAAAGATTAAAGATATCACTTCAGTAATAAATTATGCTGGTTGGTTTTGACATTTCTCAAGTGCATTGGAGAACAAACTTTATCAATTTTGCCCCAGGCGTCTTAGGAGTTGAGAACGCAGTACAAAGGTGTTATTTATAATAATTTTATCCAAATACAAATCTGTTGTGGATTGGTTTTTGAATTGTTCAGTTTTGATTTTCTTTTTACTTTAACTTTTTTGTTCAAGTATAACCCCAAACAGCACTTTGCTAAGATTTTATTTATACTGCTTTATTTTAACAGTACCTATGAAATGTTGTTCAAAAGTTTAATTCATAAGTGTCCAATGGCTCAATGAGTCGAGGAAAAATCTAAATTTGGATAAAACTCGATACAAAACTGTAAATCTGTATTCACACTAATTCATGAACCAGTCTGGAACCAGAATGGATTTTATGGGGGAAATTGGTTTTGCCCATTTTTTTATCCTCAAAACATAAAATTGCATTTGAAACTATTTTTTTTTTTTTTTTTACCTAAAAAACTCAATTAATAATTTTAACTATTGTTGTATGCCTAATGATTACAGAGGAATTGCCTATTTTAAATTCCGGTGATATTTATGGAGATTTAGTAAACTATTTTAGTTAGGTAGCTTGTTTATAGACATATTTTGATCACATTTGGCAGGATTTATTCATTCATACCAAGCTACATTAACACTTGTCTAAATAAACACAGTACAGTATCAGCAAACCTAGGTACTTTGTTAAACAAACCTAACGTTATTTAAATAAGGAATAATTCTGACATGTCAGAATCAGTCAAATGAAGATTGCTGCAGCGGGGGTATTTATTTAAGTTGTTATGTTGTACTTTAAATTGAAGAAAGTCACTCAAATTACAGACATGCTATTGCAGTATTTACTGTTTAAAATTGGAACAGTAAATTTTATTCTTTTACGCTGTAGCATTAAAAGTATAGGACTCAATCATAGATTTTTCATGGATAAAAATATTTCATGTGGTTGTTTTTAAGTATGGGCCAAGTATACTTGTAGTAGTTATTAAGAATAGTACACTGTGAATTTGCAATATTTAATTTTGATGTGTGTAATGTTTTGCAGGTTATAGGTTTCACGTGTTATTCGTTGCCGAAAAACAGCCTTGAAACAATAGGGAAAGCATTTTTTAAGAAGAACAAATCTTTGGTCAATTCACAGTATACAAACAGCAGACAGGTAAGAGGTGAATTGTTATACACTGTAAACGTCACTGACATGAATTAAACATAAGAGGCAAAAAACTATATGATTTTTCCAGTCTTACTACCTACAACAGCTCTAACTATTTTAACCTCAACACAACCGTCAAACATTCACAACATTTTGCCCTAGAGCACTAGCATTTATTAATTTATTTATCTAGAGCTTACAAAATATCAAATTAAAAAGTTAATATTTTTGACTGTCAGATAAATCAGTGAATCGCCAGCAGCAGAATGACAAGGGACATGTAATTTATTTAACTACAGATATTTTTAGGTATTTCCAACCACACGTTACATTTAAGTATTTTTTACCCCAGCATTGGCATTAGGGCTATTGTAGTGGTTGGACTTTAGTTCTTCATAACTGCATTAAATCCCAATCACATCTATCTGAATACCTACAACAAATAATAGGTTTTTCTAGACGAGAAAGATTTTCTGTGTTACTGTGCCACTAAAAGTTGTAAGATTACTTCTTTTTAAATGCCTTTGGTACTTTAATAAGCGTTAAGTTTCTTTTTAAGCACTAATCTGTAAAAAGTAAAAAGTAATTAATTAATCAATTTCACAAAAGCCCAATTTTATGTTTTTTAGGTCAAAAATGGGAAACCCCATTTTTACCCCATAAAAGCCCCCATAAACTCCCGTCCCCATGGTCCGATCATGCTGGTTCGCGAACTCGTTTGAATAAACGTAGGTTTACAAGTTTGTACCAAATTTCATCAAAATCGGATCATTTTTGCTCGAGTTATCGCGCTAACGGACACATATATATATATGAATTTGAACGGATGGTGTTTTTGGCCTCTAGGAACCTAAAAACAAAAAAAAATCGGTCCCGGGTCCAGGTCTTACCATGAGTACTACGGTAATAGCTTATTCTTATATTGGAAATTCGCTAAAAGGTAGTAAAATAGAAAAAACAGTACATAAATTATTCAGGCTTTCATGGCAGTGCAATAAGAAAACAATCTGAATGGTTTCTGAATCTGGTTGAAGTTAGGGAGATATAAAATGTTCAGAAATAATGAGAGGTCGCCAACTTGTCCAAGCCCAATTGGACACAAGCGCACCCTAGACTACCTGTAGAGTCTATATAAGGATGATAAATACAAGAGAATGTTTGTGTTCATAGGTGAGCCACAGGTGTCAGCTGGAACAAGGAGGATATCTAGTGTTGCCAACAACGTTTGAACCTGGTCAAGAGTCCAGCTTCACCCTCAGAGTCTACTCTAGTAAACCTCTTAAACTCAAGTAAGTTTAAATAAACTGTGTCGTCAAAAAAGGTTTATCTTTATATTTGTTAAACATGACACAATTTCTTAGACAGTTCAGTTGGAACAAAACTGTGTCACGTTACAGATATAACTCTCTAGTACATCTCTATGACTGTTTCAGCCTCATTGAATGGTCTTCCTCATGCAAAAACGTAGCCTTTAGCTACTATAATGTAATGACAGGATGTTTTTACCCCAAAGAACACAATTTTTTAATTAAGTGTGACTGTGGAATTCTTACTTCTAAGAATCTTCTGAGTCTTTATCACATTACATACTTTATTGTTATACAATACGGCTGAAATGTGTTTTTTAAGCATGATTATGAAAAGATAGTGGTGTACTAGGCTTGATATACTTAACTGTCATTTTTTCTATATTAACGTTTCAAGTTTCAAGGTATTTGTTTTGTTTCAGACTGTTGGATACACAACCTTCTCTAGTCAAATCCGCAATCATCAAGGTAAATTGTTACATGTTTGTTGTCAAATGTGAGAAAAGTGTTTTGGATTTACCAATTTGACACAAGAGAAATATTTCTTAGGAGGTAATTGATGGTGATTAGAAACAGTGGATGGGATGCAAAGGGAGCTGAGTTGAACTAACAACTCAGTAGAAACTTTACTATCCATACTGACCAATTGTTTACTATTGAAAAGGTATGATTTAAAAACCAAAGTGGTATACCTCTAAGACGGCACCTTATACCTTTGACAACCCACTTTTAAACAGATAACTATTTATTATTACTAAAGAAGCTTATGACAGAATTATACTAATCCAGGTCATCAATTACAGTGGAGGCCTCTGGATTGCATTTTGGGGAGGTGGTGATGCCCCTCTCCTACCCAGAAAAATGTAATTCCTATAACATGTTTTTAATTACATTTCAGTTTTAAAAATGTTATTGCATTAAAATTTGTTTTACATGTGAAAACCAACATACAGTAATATTAATCCTATAGTATGTTAGGTAGGGGTTTCCCCTGATATTGTGGGGGGAGATCCATCGCACTTTAGCGCCTTTACTGGTTTTGGATTGAGGAAAAAATGTGTTTATATACTTGGAAGAAAAGTTCTTTGTCAGAGAGCGTAACGAGGGTTTCTTCTTTTACTTATTATTTTTGTAAAAAATCTTTTTTTTATATCAGGCACCCGCTACTCTTGAGGGCAAGAGTTTTACCCAGTACGAAGCAGTATTCTTACAACTCGCAGACGAACACAGAACCGTAAATGCTTTTGAGCTACAGGAACTTTTGGATGCCTGTTTACCTAATGGTAAGAAAAGCAAGTAAACGGTAACAACTATTTTATTAATGATGTTTTTCTTTCAAATATAAACGAATTGAAGTCTTGATAATTTAAATGTTTTATAACACAGGTTTTATAAAAACAGTTTTGAATTACATAATGTTAAACTGAAAAATATCTTTTACATTAAAGGTACTGCGGTACCCACACAAAAATGCAAAGAAAATTATTTTAAATAGTTTTAAATGTAGCGCTTGTCCAATTACAGCACCAAATACCAAAGATTGCATTGGATAAAAGCCTACCTTAAATGGGGTTCTAAATTAGTAATAAAAGTAAAAACTAGTATTCTAATCTTTTAAAATAATTTATACTAACCATTATTGCGCTAAACTAATGTATACATGTAACCTTTTCAGATTACATCAAGAGCTGTGCTTGCATGGAGGTCTGTCGACAAGTGGTACTGACTTTGGATGTATCCTTCTGATCATTTTACTTTTCAAACACCAGTAGATTTATTTCTGCTTCCAGCATTACAAAACATCCTGGAAGTGTAGACATTGTTTACATTAGTTCAAGAAGGTCAATTATAAGATGTATAGCAAGTGTGATAGTAAGCATTATTTGTTTTTATTTGTTGATTTATCCATGTATCAATGCTAAATTAATGCCTTATTTCACGCTATAACTATTAAAGTTTAATTAAGAATCCAATCTTTTGTTTCCTTTGCAGAAGCAAATTGATAAACTTAATCAATATGGATTTCTCCCTTGTTTATCAGAAGTAACTAAAAGGAATTTTTTTATGTTTATGTGTACCTGTATATAACTTAATTGTATAAGCCGGCCTTGATTTAAATTTCTTTTATTTCCAATTTTTTATATGACGGGTATAGTAACATTTAGATTACTTGTGTCACAACTCACAAATGCGAAAATTGTTTAAGATCAATAAAAAAATATAGAATATTTCCCTTAATATGTTAACCAGAACACAGGAAGTGGGAGGCTGAAACTGAGTGACTTCAAGGATTTAATGTGTAGTTTAAAGTATTGGCAGACTGCTTTCAAGAACCACACCAAGGAGAAAACAGGCATTCTCAAGGCAGAAAGGTTAAAAGAAGCTCTCCTTGAAGTTGGTAAGCAAGATATATTTTGTTTGTACCAAATATGTTTTTCATCTGTTCAGGTTAACTCCAATGGATAGTGCTTATGAGCTTTCTGAATTCACTTAGCTCAAGTTTGGAAAAGGCTTGTTAACTCTAGATTAACTTTGAGTCAACAATAGGTACTCAACTAGAGTTAACTAGACTTAACTAGACTCGTCACATCACTTAGTTATTTTAATTCTTCAGTTTTATATACTACGAGGGCTATCCAGAAAGTAGATTACGTTTTTGTCTGTATCCACTAGGGGCGGGGTTAACGCGACCATCTTGGTGTTAGTTCGTTATGTAGCTCAGTCGGCATCTAGCCATGCTGGTAAGAGGTTTCTGCTGTACTCCATTGAGTTACTGTGACAGTTTAAAATGTCTGTGTTAATTGAAAATGCCACAAACTGTGAAGTGCGTGCAGTTAAAAGGTTTTTGACTGCAAAAACCTGTAAACCGATAGAAATCTATCGGCAACTTTGTGAAGTTTTTCGGGGAAAACATTATTACTGAAGGGGGAGTTCGTCAGTGAGTCATCAAATTTAAAAATGGCAGAAGTAACGTTTACGGCGAAGAGTGAAGTGGAAAACCCAGCATTGTGACTGCCGAACTTGTCGAAAAAGTCAATGCTGATGTCCGTAAAATTTGAAAGTTCACAATAAAAGAACTCTATGGGTTTTCCACAAATTTTGCGAAGTTTGTTGCACGAGATCATAACCGAAAAGCTTGGTTACCAAACTGTAACCAAAGAGTCCGTTAATTTTTTTATTTTTTTTTGCATGCACTTCACAGTTTACGGCATTTTAAATTAACACAGACATTTTAAACTGTCACAGTAACTCAACTGAGTACAGCAGAAACCTCTTACTAGCATGGCTAGATGCCTACTGAGCTGCATAACGAACTAACACCAAGATGGTCACACTATCCCCACCCCTAGCGGATACAGACAAAAACGTAATCTACTTTCTAGATAGCCTCGTATCATTTTGGGGCATTAACCCATTGGGGAAGGAATTAATCCGCTACCTGCAGCACCCTCTGGCGGCAATTAATTTTACCGAATTTGTACACTTTTACTCTAACTGCTATAGAAAGAAAACCTTAGGTAATAAATTAATAATTCTTTCACCATTTTGTTCACAGTAAAATTGTCTACAGAAAAGTGTTAGTTGGATAGTCAAAGTTGTAAACTAAAAATATATATATTTATAAAGATTATAAAAATAAAAATTTTAAAAACAATATTTTGAAAGTAAACTTGATATACAAATTCCAAGATTAATCCAGACACCAAATAACACTACTATTATAAAGGTCGATCGATTCCCTACGTAGAAAATCAAAAGTTGTGTACTTTTATAAGTAATAAAAAATTTTTTTTTTTTTTAAATTGTTTGTTTACCTTACCGCAGCTGATTTTTGGTGATATGTGGTTTCCATGGCAACACAAAATTGTTTGTTATTCGCTAAAATAAATGAGTAAATACGCAAATCAAGAAGCAAGATATTTATAAACATTATAATAGTAAGAAGAAACAAAAAGGGCGAAAAATAATAATAACTAAATAAAAAATGGCGCTGCCTAGCGGTGACACGAGCGGCTCTCGTAAGTCGGCCTCCGGGCCTGCAGCGGCCGTACGAGTAACGCTCGTAAGTCGGCGCCAATGGGTTAAAGAGGTTAGTTTATAACAAGTTGTCATTTCAATTAGGCATATTGAACAATAAATAAAACAATATACTAAATAGTTAAAATTTGTTGTTTTATTGATCACCTCTATTTTGTTTCAGGATTTCAGCTCAGCACGGATGTATTATCAATCCTGGTTCTCAGATACATGAGGAAAGACGGCACACTCCGATTTGGAGACTTTGTTTCAGCCATTCTTCATCTCAGCATAGCATTTAGTAAGTGAACTTTGAACTTGAATTAATTTTGTTTTAGAAAGTATAGAGCTCAAGATACAAGGGTAAGTCAGTCTTCAAGAAAAAATTAGTTTGAAATGAATCTGTTTGTTTTTAATTGTTTGTTGTTTGTAAGCAATCTCAAAATCTCCCTGATAGAGTTCAACAGATTGGATATTCACAAACCGGTCCAACATCAAAAAGTCGATCCTATACATATTCATCTAATTAGACTTTCATGATAAATCCATTCATTTGATATCCGGTACTACTTTTGTTTTGTATCGTTCAGCAAAATATTGCAAATCATTGTCAAATGTTGGCTGTAGAATGTTTTTGCTAAAGAAATTGACTTGGTTTATTAAACATATACAAACAACTATAGGTAACTAACTAATAGTAAAAGCTTTAATTTACCTGTATCTAAATTGTAATTGTGATATTTAAAAACTAACATTGCATGTGTTTTTGCAGATGTTTTTGAAGCAAAAGATCCTTTGCAGAATGGAAGTGTAAAGTTATCCCTGGCTGAGGTAAGATATTATATAAAAGGGAAATCCAATGCTAAAAACAATGAACATTTATTACATTTTCATTACCACAGAGTGGGGATTTAGTAGTGCACCCTGTGCACATGTTCAGAGCTGGGCCCGCACTACTAAAAGTTCTCCCAATTAATTTTCTTATTGTTGCTCAAGCATAGGATGATACATTTCTACAATCCGTCATCATCTCTCACGATCACAGTAACAATCGTAATGATTTTTATAGCCTCCCATGAGTAGGGCATTATCTTGAACATGATCAGTGATTGACATTTTTTACCTAATATGACAACACAAAAATAGGACAAGCGGCCTCCAGAAAAGTTGTGTAGTTTTAAACACAAGACACATTGGAATAGTCCAATTTAATAATATAACAAATTAATGTTGTACCATTTTGGTTGGTGCAACTCCTGGAAAATAAGTAGAAACAAGATGGGATGCACTTTATCATGCATATTTAAATCCTTAAACCTGTGAGTGCAATTTTTATAAGAACAAATAAAACAAATTCTTTAATATTTTGGTTATTAATTTCCATGAACATACAGCTCTAAATAAATGAAGTTCCTCAATAGGCCTAAGTTAAAAAAATTAATTATATTAGTTTTTTTCTTGACTTTTAGTACAAAATGTCTTGATTATGTCAGAGAATTGAATTTTTGTCGCTCCTATATGTTTAATTGATACGTGCTGATAACTACCGAGTCTGATTGTCATGTCTAATGATCAGTGGCGGATCCAGCCAGAAGTCTCGGAGGAAAATAAATGCAAAATAATTGCCTGTGTTCGCTACAAAATGGTGAGCACCTCTTGCTATTACGGGGACATCGTTATCGTCACCCGCGATCGCAGCTGAATCGTGATTCATGAACAACTCCCGCTATCACGGGTACATGATCAATGTCACCCGTGATCGCGGCAAAATCGTCAACGTCTACAATCGGGAATAACGTTTAACATCTACCACTATCATGGGGACACCATCATAGTCACCTGCAATCACTATACAAATTTTACAATTTAATTTTCAGTGTGTCCTGCCATCACGGGTACATTGTTATCGTCACACCCAATTGACAAAATTGTGAACATCCCCCGCCATCACGGGTACAACGTTATCGTTACTCACGAACGTGACGAATTATTAATTTAGAAAACAATAACTTATGTTGTTTTTTATTAAGGCGTTTTTATAAAAAAAAAACTTTGCAGCCACCTTTCGATTGCGGCCTTAGGCTGTGGCCTAGTGGTAAGTCTGGCATTAGTCATTTCTATCTCGCAATCGCGACAAAATCTTGAATATGGCCTTTCCTGATTGGAGAAAAATCCTGAAAATCGCTCTCAACATTAAAACTTGTCGTCGTCACCCGCGACCACGGCGAAATTATTCAATATTAACCAATAAAACAAAAACTTACATTTTTCACCACAATCTTGGTTTAAAAAAAAAAAAAACCAGTAAACCGTCACCCAACCCAATGATGGTTTGTTGTTCCAATTTGGAGAATTGGCTCAGGTCTCACAACTCTTCATTTTAGACTCAATGTGGTTGGTTACTTGATATCAAGCCAAACAACATGACTAATAAAAAGCACAAATTAATATAAGTTAAATTTTATGTTTTGTTTTTCATGTTTCAGTGGCTGAAATCTTCGCTAATGTGCTGACAGAAAAAATCTGGAAACACTCACTATCAACAATCCCTCAACTGTTCTTCTTATTCTCTTTATTGCTAAGAATAAACCAATTCTGTGTTTTATTAATTTGTTCAAATTTAAAAGAGAGTTTACAAAAGATTATACAAACTGCTTTGAACGGTAAAATATAATTTTTCAAAATATTATTTTTTTAACGGTTTTGATGGTGTTAGTTGTTTCCTAGCACACTACCTGTAAAGTTCTTTTAAAACTTTTGCTATAAAAGGATTGTAAAGATATTTTATTTTATTCTGATATTTGTACAGCAGAATTCTTTGTTTTGTTTCGCTCCATTCTACATTTCTCTGTAGTTTTATTTAGCCTTAATTAACATTTCTCCTTGAATAATTTGTGGTGCTGTAAATATATTTGTAATTTACCAATGTAAATTTTTGTTGATTTGTATAATTTAAGTGTTTATGTTTACTTTAAGCAATATTAAATGACAAATAGTTATGTCAAAAATTAAATACAAATAAAATATACCCTGTATAGTTGAGATTTCATGTTTCCTTATTGACCTAGTACCAACATGTTTTGAATTTGCAACAACTTGACAAATTTAGTCAATTTAGAAAATATTTTTATGAAAATAAAGCTTGCACAGTTTTTCAATTTTGTTGCAGAATGAAAAACTTAATTGTTTGGTTTATATATTTTATTTTTATTTCTAAACCATAGCCTATATTATTAAACACCTATATTGTATTTGTTATTATAAATTATTGTATTGGCCTTTTGTACATTAAAATGTAGTAGGCCTATTACATTATATTTTTAAACCATGCAGCTTTCACTTGTAAAAAATATCTAAAAATGTTGATTAATTAAAGTTTTTATTTCATTTTGTAGTATACCTTTCCGCAGACAGAGCTGTTAATTAATAGCCCATACAGCTAACGCAGATAGTCATAGTACTCATTAGTGTGGACGTTAATCCACACCAGGGAGTATCTCATCCACAGTGCATGCATATAAATATCCACAATTTTTGACCTCCTAGTACTAGTAGCTGGATTACAGGACGTCACCACCATCCCAGTATTGGCAACACTGTCAGTATAATGCTGTTACAGCTGTTTTGATTGGTTGGAATTCGTAGGCATGCGATATTGGACCAATATAGATATTGGTGTATTTTATAAGAATAGTGAAAGCATGGTTACTTGGCCATGCAAATATTGACTCCATTTTAAATGTACAGAAATAAATTTTGAATTTATATTAATTTTGTTTAGACTACCTATATGTTTTATTTTCAATCCATTCGTAAATTTATTAAAATTTATTATTTAATTTTATAATGAATTTCAAGAAATTTAAATTCAAATTAGATTATTTAGCAAAAAAAACTAACAAAATAATTGCATTAGCCAAGTGTGAAAAAAGTACCGGTACAACTCATCTTAGGCTAGACTTACAAAATATGCAAACAAATCAGCTTACCATCTATTTGCATAATATTATACGCGAACGCGATTAAATAAGCGGATGTCACCTGTTTGCCATGTTAACTTATGGGACGTCTTACTCCTAAACAACATCACTTGCGATGTTGCCGTTCTACCAGGCCGCGGCCTACCTGCCCTATCTTATCAGTTAATTAAAATGAATTCGTTATTCAATAGAATGTTTGACTATCAATCAATACCAATATAGTTTATGAAAGAATGATTTGAGTGTGAGGTCTCCTATTTTATATTTGCATAATGGAATATAAATTTTGACTACGCAGTTGCATGTTCTGACTACAGCTACCCTTCCCAAAAATATTCCAACCTATCTAGAAAGTGAAATGCTGAACCCGGGAACAATTTGGAACGTGGTGGAATTGATTCAATAAGGTTCGGTGAACGACCGTCTTGCCGGAGTAATAAATCCTACTTTTTTGGAACTTTAGGAACATGTTCCTATAGGGTCTGTAACAGACTACTGCTTTCTCATTCTAGTAAAAAGGAACTCAATAAATGTAACAGTTACAACAAGAAGCATTGCTTTTGCTTTAGTCTGCCCTGCCTTTTGCCCTTTAATTGTCTTGTTAACTATTGTTCGTTTATTATGATGTCGTTTTTGCCCTGTCGTCATTCCTGTTTATAATTATCTCCCTCTTCATAATTATTATACAATCGCTGAAATAGTATCAACTGTGTGATGTGTTTAATTACACCCGTTTCAGATCATAGCATTTAGATTATTTGCAGTACCGTGACTTGAGTAATAACATTTCGTTTTAATATTAACCACTGACGACATAAGTGTATACTTATATGCCGCTCGTCAACTTCTATATATTTAATGACACGATAAGTTCTGTTCGATTTAGTGGAAAATAGTTTTATTACAAACTAAACATTTTAAGTTTTTTTCTACATATCGAATAACAAGAACAAGCAAAAATTGTAAATTCGTAAAAGGAAGGGGTGGCCGGGGGGCAGGCAGTCTGGCAGTCACAAATTAATGGCGAAGGGAGGGACGAGGGACTATTTATAAGGAACGGTTCCGTCCAATCTGTTCCACAGAGTGACACTTAACGCAAATGTAACAGTTGCAATTTAAAAAAAAATAGGATTTATTACTGCGGCGAGATGATCGTTTCGTTTGTGGTTGATCGTTGTCTCGTTGGTTGGATTAGATTGGATTGGGATTGGACATTGGACAATGTTGTGCTGCTGTGAGTGCTGTGGTGAAATTTAAAAACAACGAAACGGCGTGTCAGTTTTGAGGTTATGTTATATAAATAAATTATTAAATTTAAGCGTTTTTGGGTATTTGTTATAAAAGGATCGTTGAAGAATGTTAAGAATTAATCGAATATAGTAAATAGCCTTGTATGGAATGATACGCCTTTTTGGTGATAATAGTATTTTATTATACTGCTGTACAGGTAATTATAGGACTAATTGGTGTTTTTATTCTTGAGATTGATGATTGTTTAGTTTAAGCAAGCACTAAGCACTAGATATTTTCCTTTGAACATGGACAATAATGTGACTTGTCATAGTCAATAATGCTACATAAAGGGTACAGTTTCTTAACTGGGCTATGCTAATATCGATTGAATCTATCGAATTGGAAATATTGATTAATAATCAATATTTTTAAATATATCTATTACAAAATTTGGGTACAGTTTCTTAACTGGGCTATGCTAATATTGATTGAAACTATCGATTCGATTAGTAAACTTTCATGCGATTTTTTCACCATCAGCAAGTTTGGTTAGTTAGGTTAGGTTATGATAGTTAAATTTTGTAATAGATATATTTAAAAATATCGACTATTAATCAATTATTCCAATTCGATAGATTCAATCGATATTAGCATAGCCCAGTTAAGAAACTGTACCCCAAAATTTAACTATCATAACCTAGCCTAACCAACCAAACTTGCTGATGGTGAAAAAATCGCATGAAAGTTTACTAATCGAATCGATACCGGTAGTTTCAATCAATATTAGCATAGCCCAGTTATGAAACTGTACCCAAATCTTCAAATTTTCAGGTTAGGCAGTAGAAATACCTATGACAAGCTTCGACTCTACCTAAGTTTACCAGTAGTATCTATTTTACTTGACTGCTTGATCTTATCGATAGCCTAGTTAACTTACAGTGGAGGTTGATTTCTGGCACAGATCCACAGACATGAATGAAGTACTGTATTCGTTCGGAACCGTTAGGCCTACCCTATAGTCGTAACTTAGGATAGGCCTATAGTTTTCACGAGATATAGGCTAAATATCGGCTCATGCATTGAATATGTTAGCCTAGCCTATTTTAAGCCCTAGGGCGTTTTCAAGCCTTACTCATTCGCATTGTGCTGAGGCAGTTAGCCTACGTAGGCCTATGCCAGGATAACTTAGTTTGGTCGAAAGCTTTTAGTCCAGTTCATGATTTTTCTCAAAATGGTCCAAATAAATAATGAGAAAAGATATTTAAAAATTTATTCTGAGATCCTAAACTGAACAAATAGCCTAGGTAACTCAACTTAAATTACCATAACAAACAACTTTAACCCTATTAGTGGCCAATGTTAGAAGCCAATGCGTCTAACTTGTTAGCTGCTTTTTAAGTGACTTGTTTGAGAATCACCCTTTAAGTTATTGCTTAACCATTTTTGCTTAGTGCTCAGTTTGAACCTGTGTAGAAGTTTCAATCTCAGTTAAGCTACGACTATGTCATGATTAACCATTTGAGTGCCACAGTGTCACACCTAGGCCTATTTCTTATGCATTAAATTGCCAAGCTAATTTCAAAGAAAAATTCAGTAGTTAATATAAAATTTAATTTATTTTTATTTTGTGTATGAATCAATTCTCTACCTACCGGTACCTATGTTAATAATTTTAGTGCATTACAGATCAAGTCGGCCTCTATAGTCTGTGCTTGGATGGAGGGAACTAATACTACCTATAGATATGAATTTATGGAGTACCTATGTCAATAACATGGAAACAACTTGACCAGTACTGATTTTTTCCACAAATAGAGCCAATATAACCACAGGATTAGTGGAGACAATAGACAATTAATCTTTATTTACACATTCATTAAGAATAGTAGTAAACTTAGCCCAACAGAATCATCTTTAATAGAGATAGTCATCTTTAATTTTAATACTCTACTAGGGCTCTGCCCTGACAGCTCGAGTCACTCGAATTGCCACCCAACTCGGTACGTCAATCAATAGTTTTTTATTAATACATATGAAGTCAAAAAGGGACGAAGCCCACGGGTTACAGCTAGTAAAAGATAAAAGTATTAACACCTACATAAAATATGGTTAGTGGTTAACAACTTTCCATCTTTTATATACTGTCTTGTTAGTTAACAGTATATGCTTATTTTGTGCCTGTCAGCTGTTGACTGTCGAGTTACAGGGTGTCGAGTTAATGAAGTTCTACTGTGTTTTCATTTCAAATATTTTTACCAAGCTATCCTGTTTTTTCTAGGCACTTTACAAAAACATTGTAAAAGTGAAACTTAAAAACGAGTGCTTCACCTGCTGGACGTCATCCGCCACTATGGAAATATTTTTTATCCGTCAATAATCATCATAAAACTAAATCCACCCGACTTCATGAATGATAACTTGTTAAAAAATAATGATGGAAGTGCATATACAGATAAAGAAAGATACAGTTTTCGAAACTTTTACTTTGAAACGGGTCGTTGGCAGATAAAGAACTCTGTTTATCCTTACCCTAGTGTGAGTGATATCACAGGCATTGTGGAAATCAGCAACATTTCTGATGATATTTGGTTTAGTACCAAGAGCGATATGAAAGACATTAATAAACATAATAAAACGGAGAAACTTTGCTCCTCTCAAGAAAAAAATGGACCATCCTCCCCCAAAAAAGGAGCCAACTCCCCCAAAGAGACAAGCCATCCAGGAAGAAGTAATTTTGGTTTATCACCACATAAAACAAAAACTAAGTTCAAGTTCAAGAATCCTTCTCCTGAATTCA